AATCAAGTTCTTAGGGGATCTTACTCTCTAGCAGGGGTAGCAAATTAGTAGCCACTCAGTGTTCACTTTGAGAATTACTTATATCATAAATTTGAGCAAGGATAATTCTTGTTAGTAAGGTTTCTGGGTTGGATAAAACAAACATTTAAATATTTATATTTTCTTTTTTCTTCCTCAAATTTTGCACTATTTTATTATTGCAATAGTGAATACAACTGCTTGTTCCCCTTACCTTTATCAATAATGATCGTTAGAACTTTTAAATATTCTAATTTTTGGCAATATAATGGTTGAAAATGATTATCATTAACATGCATTTCTTTGATGTTCACAAAGGTTCAGTATGTTTTCAAATGTTTATTACCCGTTTGTACTTCTTTCTTGAAAATTTCCATTTAAGGCCCCTGCAAATAATGAGAGTTGACTATAGCTACTATTTTCTTATTAAAATCTATTGGACAAACTTTGTCTTTTTGCTTCAGTTATTTCACCCATACATATTTAATGTAATTGATTATATAATTGGGCTTGTATCTATCATCTTACCATTTTATTTCCTCTTGGTCACTTTGTTTTATGATTTGTTCCCTTCTTGTCTTCTTTAAAGATAAACCAATAATTTTTATGATTTCATTTTTCCTTCCATTAAATTATTATTTGTTGTTGTTTTAAGTGCCATCAAGTTGGTTCCAACCCATAGCATTTCCTAGGAGCGGCTGGTGAGCTTGAACCACCAACCTTATGGTTCAAACTGACTTTGCAGTCCAGTGCATTAACTCACAGCATTAACTCACAGCACTACACACTTTGTCTTATATTCTAGTTGTTACCCTATACACAACAAGTATCATAGATTTTTTTATGTTCTACTAAGAATATTAAGAGCATTTCAAGATCTACCTTGAAGTACAAAGCTGTCTGTGATAGGATAGTTTTGATATGCTTACAAGGAAAACAAATTAATACCACGATTTCAAATTTACATACCAACTGCCAAAGCCAGTGATGAAGAGCTTGAAGAATTCTACCAACTTCTTCAGTCTAAAATTGATATCGAATATGCAATTAAGATGTACTGATAATTGGAAGGTGAAAGTTGAAAATGAAGAAGAAGGATTGGTAGTTAGAAAATATGGCCTTGGTTTATAGAAGTGATGCTGGCGATCCCATGATAGAATTTTGCATGAACAATGAGTTCTTCATTGCAAATACCTTTTTTCAATAACATAAAAGGCAACTATACATGTGGACCTCACCAAATAGAATCCACAGGAATGAAATTGACTTCAACTGTGGGAAGAGACTGTGCAGAAGTTCAATATCATCAACCAAAACAAGGTGAGGAGCAGACTGTGGAACTGACCATCAATTGTTCATATGCAAGTTCAGAATGAAGCTGAAGAAAATTCAAACAAGTTCATGAGAACCAAAATATGATCTTGAATATATACCACAAGAATTTAGAGATCACTTAATGAACAGATTTGATTCATTAAAAACAAATGACTGAAAACCAGAAGAGTTGTAGGATGACATCAAGAACACCATACACAATGAAAGCAAAAGGTCATTAAAAAGACAGGAAAAAAAGAAAATACAAATGGATGTCAGAAGAGACTCCGAAACTTGCTATTGAATGCAGGGAAGCTAAAGCAACTGGAAAAATTAGGAAATAAATGAGCTGAATAGAAAATCTCAAAAGGGCAGCTGTAGGAGACAAAGTAAAGTATTATAATGAAATGTGTAAAGACATGAAGTTACAAAACCAAAAGGGAAGAATATGCTTAACATTTCTCAAGCTGCAAGAACTAAAGAAAAATGTCAAGGCTTTACTTGCATTAGTGATGGAGTCTATGGGTAAAATACTGTGTAATATGTTGTTGCTGTTAGGAACTGACTCATAGCGACCCTATGCACAGCAGAATGAAATGTCCAGTCCTGGGCCAACCTCACTATTGTTGCCACACTTGAGGCCATTGATGCTGCCACTTTGCCAATCCATCTCGCTGAGGGTCTTGCTGTTTTTCTCTGACCCTTACCAAACATGATATCCTTCTCCAGTGACTGATCCCTCCTGACAAAATGTCCGAAGTATGAGAGACGAAGTTTGGCCATCCTGGCCTAAGGAGCACTCTGGCTGCACTTCTTCCAACACAGATTTGTTTGTTCTTTCGGCAGCCCATGGAACTTTCAATATTCTCCTATAACAAATATAGGAAGCATCAAAAGAAGATGGAAAGACTGAACAGTCACGGTATCAAAAAAAATTGATTGACATTCAACCACTTCAAGAGGTAGCAGATGATCAAGAACTGAGGGAAGAAGTCCAAGTTACATTGAAGGCACGGATGAAAAACAAAACTGTACGTATTAATGGAATATAAATTGAAATCCTTTAACAAACTGAGGCAGCTCTGGAAGCCCTCATTTGTTTATGCAGTGATATTTGGAAGACAGCTACCTAACAAATTGATTGCAAGAGATCCATATTTGTGCCCATTCAAAAGAAAAGTGAGCAACTATTGGAATGTGAAAATCATCAAACAATAGAATTAATATCACATGCAAGTAAAATTGTGATGAAGATTATTCAAACACGCTTACAGCAGTACATTGACAGGGAACAGCCACAACTCTGAGCCAGATTCAGAAGAGGGCACAGAGCAAAGGGAACGAAATCATAGCTGGCATTAGATGAATCTCGGCAAAAATCAGAGAATAACAAAAAGGTGTTTACTTGTGTTTTATTGAGTATGCAAAGGCAATTTGTCTGTGAGGAACATAACAAACTATGAGCAATATTGTGATGAATGGCTA